CCGAGTCAGCTGCGTGGACGCAGGGAAATACCACAGGTGTGGATTTCACAGTACCACGCAGAAGAAACAAAAAAATGTTGCTAAGTGAAAGTTGTTCTGAGAATTTAGTTTAGATAAGGCTGGGAAATAACTGTTGGAGAAAAGGGAGGGAGCTCAACAGCTCAACTGAAAAAGCATCTTGGATCCTGCCATTCCGGTTGGTATGTAGCAGAGGGTTATAGTGAATTGCTCCTCCTGCCATCCCAGAATGAACCTTCATGTTAAGTCCAATTTCTCATTCAAGAACATTTTGCAAGATCATGGGATTCCAGCCTTTGTCTGGCATTGCAGGGATTAACCCAGTATGTAGATTGCTGTTCTGCATGTTTCAGAGAATACCTTGCCAAACACCACTCAACACATGACTACATGCCGGTGTGGTATTTGCATAGCCTAAATCCAGCTAAGTTCAGTGTGGTTTCTTTCAGCTTATTAACATCTACAACAGCAGCATATTTTTGTGGCTGAAAAAACGTTTATAAAGAATCTTTGATTGTTTCAATAGAAAAAAGGGAAGAAGATTTTATGATTTTTAGTTCAAATCACCTCTTATTGATAACCACTACACAGCACAAACATGAAGAGTATTATAACCCTTCCTCTCCTTTGATCTTCTCTCTCTCTCTCATTTGGCTTTGTCAACGAGCTGGCCACCAAAATGGTCAAGGGGACCCAGAGACTGAGCAGGCACAGGACAACCAGAAAATGTTGACTTTGATATAAAAGAGGAAGCAATGTAATTAAGGTATGTTTCTTTCATATTGGAGATGACAGCAAAACACTCAAAGTGTGTGTAGTTAATACACCTCTGTCCTCCCCACAGATAACAGTAATTGCTTATTTTTTTCACCTTTTTGTTTTTGCTTTGTAGCTTTTCAGTTACTATGACCTTGTATATTAAATATTGCACAGATTTTTTTTCACCAATTAAGAAAAAGCTAATTAAACACACTGGAGTAAGTGAAATCACAGGTTTTTAGTGTATGAAAGGATACAATTGCATGCTTGTAGAGTTCTTCTATACTTTCTGACAAGTAGAGATCAAGCAGTGCCTACAATACAGAACACAGAGTCAGATATGTCATTTATGAAAATCCAGCAAATCTTTATCCATCATACTTACATGTAACGTAGGAGGAGGATATTTGTCTGTTCCTCCATCATCTCTCTGCCACAGGTTCACAACTGAATCACCCAACTGGGAAATCATTCCATCAATCATTAAGCAGTTAGGGTTCCACTTGCCTCTACAAAAACAAAAACAAAAATATACAAAACAATTTAATTCTAAAGAATTAAAAGTAAATGAAAATTTTCTATTAGTTAATGATTTGTGTGATATGGATTACGCTCTACATTTACAAAAGCCCAGCACAAAAATTGAACCAGTTGGTCTAGAGCAATGGTTCTCAACCTGTGGGTTCCCAGATGTTTTGGCCTACAACTCCCAGAAATCCTAGCCATTTTGCCAGCTGTTAGGATTTCTGGAGGTTGAAGGCCAAAACATCCACAGACCCACAAGGTTGAGAACCACTGGTCTAGAGAGCGCTGTAGAAGATTACACTGTAAAATGCCTGATTGTTGTAATTCATAAGTAGCTGGATACAATTTACCACTCAGTTATCACTTGGTTAAATTCTGCAACGGATGTTTTAGGATGGTTTACAATTAACAGTCTAATGTAGTAAAAAAGACAAGCTATAATACATACATTTTCTACAGAACTTTTCTACAGAAGGAAAATCAATAATTTGAGCTTTTTTTGACTCTAGACTATTCTTTTTCTTACCCTGACATAATCTATATAAATAGCCACTCATAACAAGCTTTCAGACCATGTTATAAAAAAGCCCTCACCTGGATAACCGTTCCAGTTTTTGACGGCAGCCAGCATAAAAGCGTTGTATATGTTGGTAATTATAGAAAGGTTTTGACAATGGTGTATCTTCATCTAGCCAGGAGATAAACATTTGTTTTAACAACAGACAAAGGCACTCCAACTGAATAAAATATAGAAGTAAGGACTATCTTTTCACTTTAAGAACAACTAGTTCACTATACTTAAGCACAGAAATACTGAATGCTGTCACATTTTAAAGAACTGAGCTACCTTTGCCATGAAGGTAGATCAAAATTTTAAATATGCCCTAGAACCAAACTTGTTCATGTTTGAGCTTAGTTTGGTACTCAAGGCACATAAACACAATCATTTCCAAATATTAGAAACTTAGCATAATCAAAAGTCTAGTTGAATCCGACTCTGGGGGTGATGCTCATCTCCATTTCTAAACTGAAGAGCTAGCATTCTCCACAGATGCCTCCAAGATCATGTGGCCGGCATGACTGCAGAGTGCTGTTACCTTCCCACCAAAGTGGTACCTCTTGATCTACTTATATTTGCATGTTTTCAAACTGTTAGGTTGGCAGAAGCTGGGGCTAACCGTGGGAGCTCACCCCACCCCGGATTCAAATTGCAGACCTTTTGGTCAGCAAATTCAGCAGCTCAGCAGTTTAACCTGCTGCACCACCAGCAGATAGCTAGTTACAAATGTATCAATCAGATGACAGATCTCCTTAGAAGATACATTTTATTCATTAGATATTTTTTCAAACGATAAAAAATTACACCTGTAAAGTTATGGGTGTGCGTGCATGTGATTATTCTTAGTCCAATCCAAAAAATATTAAACAACATCTAGGTCACATAAGGTAGCCACTTCCAATCATTTCAAAAGTATGAAGCGTGCTGAATGTATACTTCATTTGTTGTTAAATAGGAACAAGTTTGAATGTTTGAGAACCAAAGACATAATAAGTTTACCTGAACTTTCTGGAAGAAGATTAGATCGACAGAACCAAATGACCACTTGCATATACTGTGAAAGGAGACCAGCAACAACCTGCTTGTTTGTCAGATTTGTAATGCCTGAAAGGGGATTAACACATGATTTTCAAAATCATACTGCATGCTTTGAAAGCAATATGAATTTGCCAGCAATTCATTTGCAATGTATCTATTATAAGGTGAGGGGACACGATGTATACAAGAGTTCTAGAAAAAGAAGAGCTCAAATAATAAATCGTTCTTAGGCTAAAGAAAAGAACCGAGAAAGGAGAAAAGAGCACCATAAGGTAAAAGATATAAATCACATGACATCTGCATTGCACTGAGAGTAATGGAAGTTAACACATTCCTGAATGGCTCCTTTCTACAGACAAGTATGCATACTCCCTGATTTTAGATGGTAATCACCATCAAATTCAAGCTGCTTTTGAGGAACACCAAATATTTACAGTTTATCAAATTAGCAACACAGGCAGAGAGCATCCAGGGATATATAGCCTCAATATGATAATCAAGGCTACATACAAACTTGCTAGGTATTATGATGCTATTTTTTGAAGTTAGATCAAGTTAGACTCCCTCCCCCACACCTCAAAAGAAAAACATATATTTATACACACACACACACAAAAGATGTCTTCCCAGAAAGGAGAAAGCATGATTAAGTTTCTCACTTATTAGAAAACTATATTCAACTATATTCAACTATTCATAGAAAACTATGTTTCTAATACTTGATCTCACGCACCTTTTTCTGACAGGGCTTTCGCTTCCATTACAAAACAGTTCAAAACTGTGCTAAGGTTGCTAAGAAGCAACTCACAGTGCTGTAAAGACTGCAGAGTTTGTGGGTCAATGAAGTTTGATGATCCATCAAAGAGTGGTACACCTTATAAAAGAGGAAGATTACGAAAGTATTAGTATGGAATGAGAAATAAATGTGATCTTCCACACTAGTTACTGAATATATTCAACACAAGGCAGTTTGCTTCTTGAACTGCCAAAAAATACAACACTACTCACAAAGACGAACAAAATCTTCTTTTGTGTTCACCACTTTATTCCATGTCCATTCAAGAACAAAGCGCAACTTAGTGGCAGAATCTGGTTGTTCTAAGAAGAATAAAATAAAGAGATATGATGAACAAAAATCCCAGATTCTACAAAAGTAATTTAACCAAACAACAAGTTCATTTACCTCCAGCAGTCCATTGTTTGATGCAGCTAGTGAGGAACCCCAGAGAACTGGTTTGGATGGCAGCTGACAATACAGCTTCAAACTGCTCTTCCTAGAAAAACAATAATGAAATTCACTGATACCAGTAATTAATGCATTTGGTGTTACAAATGCTTTTCAGGGTTCCAATCCAGTCTCATCATACACAGTCTGCAATGCTGGACCCAGAAAGGAATGGACATGCCACCAGCAAACAATTCATCTAGGCAATTCAAACGATAACATAATGGACCCAATGGAATCGCTTTTGTGACACATTTCTTAAGATGTATCCACATTATGGATTGTAATTCTTAGTTTTATCAATATTATTAAGTATTGGAAAAAAATCATCTATTTTTTCCATGCTTTTGGGGGCGTGCAGGAATTTTTCATAAAAAGCTAAATACTTCGACAAAGCTACAAACCTCGGGATTCCAAAGGCTGGAACGATGGCAGTTAAAGCAGTGTCAAACTACTATCATTTTGCAGTGTGGACACATCCTTATTTAAATCGGGCACAACTCGAATTCAGTGAGGTTTGGTTAAAAATAACCAAGAATCACAAAGGGATGATTACATCGACATAGTCATTATGGACTCACCTGAGTCAAACTTGAAGGCTGTACATCAATAAATCTTGGAGAAAGCAAACCTGCTACCAGACATCTGTTATAACCATCAGGAATAGCTTCATTTAAAGAGGAAGCAGATTTTTTTAAGAAATGCAGAGTCTGCAAATAAGCACAAGCATTTATTGATTAAGACAACTAAACTGCTCAGCAGAAATCGGTGAATGAAAAAAGTAAAGGGAAAAGTAATGAAAAAGACTGAACACCCATTGTTAAAATCAAGGCAAAGTCACATGATAGAAACCAGGCCTCATGCCACTGCAGAGGTGGAGTGTTGTTTTCAGTTCATGCAATGTAGAATTAAGCACTCAGTATGTTGTCTAACATTGTTGAACCTGAGGCATAACTGCCTCAGGAGGTTATTGGCAATGGCCTATATATGTTTTGTACAAACTGGAATAACATACAGAGACTCAACTCCAAAGAGCCTACTGTATGATTAGGAATTTATTCATATATTCAAAATAAGGGCTGGCAGAAGAGGGATGTAGCTACAAACTTTGCAGAACAGAAAAGTGGACTGGAGGTAAAGGAATCAAATGCACCATCTCTCCTCTATCAGCTCTTCACTTGTTCGGACACAATTCTGTGTTGCCTAAAGTAGTTAGGTGGCAAGTTCAGTCTATAAATGTTACAAGTGAAACCTTTTATAATGTACTTGTTGAAATCCATCAACCTAGCATTGTGATGTATTATGTGTCCTTTGTAAGCAATGTACAGAATGATAGACTCGGAGCAAATAATGAAGAGATTTTACACAATACAGAAACTGAGTGCCTTTGGCCTTCAAGATGCTTTGTTCTGTAACTGCTATCAACCTTATTTAGAAAAGCCCATAGTGTTAGTATGATAAGATGCCAGTTTTAATGCAAAATATCTGGAACACCACCCAGGACATATTATGCGATTATTTTATTTTATTATTTCTTTATTTCTTTATTTGCACCCCGCCCTTATCATCCTAAGGGGACTCAGAGCAGCTCACATATATATATATTGGCAACAATTCGATGCCATGCAAACATACATCAGCAAATAAACCTATACATTAAAAACCAACAACTAAAAACATATCAAACATTAAAATCAAATTTCAAACCACATGAAGTTATGCCACAGACTGATTTCTATTACAAGTTATTTTATATTTATAAGAATATGTCCACATTTCAGAAATTTAACATAGGAGACACTTAGTAACTGCTGGATTTTAGTTCCAGCCCTGCCCCCCAATGGATATCAAAATCTATGGTTGTTCAAGTTTCATTATATAAAATGGGGCAGTAAAATTGCATCCCTTATATAAATGACAAAATCCAGATTTGCTTTTTGGATTTTAAAATCCAGGGATGATTGAATCCATGGATACAGAAGGCTGGCTGCATTCATCAATAAAGGATCGACTCCTAGCTTCCACACTGGCCTTTTCATTTTATCTCTCCTTTAGGCACTTACTAGTTTCCTTGCCCCATTGCTTGCTGTCCCCAGCCCTTTTTTCCAAGCTAGCTTTGTTAGAATCTTTCTGACTTCTAATGCTCGCATTATTCTTTGGATTTCTCTGCTGTATCTACAACCCATGTAGCTTTCAAGTATCAATGTACAAACTGCTAAGTGAGTCTACCTTCTTTCCTTGCAAGGTAATCTCTCCCCCCCCCCCTTCCCTTTGATGCCTGCACTGCACTGTCACCTTAATTTCCTGAAGAATGCCTCTGGGCCCCCAAGGACTGTGAGGAAATGAAACTGGCTAACATTACATGTCAGAACTTTGCTTTGAAATGATTCCAGCCACCACTTGAATGGATAAAAACAAAATATATCATGTGGATGGAACCTTGTAAATAGCTAGCAAGGACTGAAAGGAGGCAGAGCTACATCTAGATCAGCAGATTGTGGAAATGGGTGAAAGGAGAATCCTTGTAAAAGGCCACAGTAAATCCTGGTTAACCAGATAATATGGCAAACTTACGTCAGGGAAAGGGGAGGGAATTATGTATGTCATCTGATAAGAAACATCCAGCAGCTACTATTGCTGGGTTGCTGAAAGAGCACTTTAGTTGTTGTTCTGAGACTTGGCATTCTTAACTGGCATGTTCACTTTGGGGACCACTGTCAAGCAATTTGGAAATAATGTTGCCAAGACAGAAGGAACATTTATAATATGCAAAGTAGATAAGAAAACAATATAGAGCACATCAGAGTACGAGCAACAGAAGACTAACACTCACATCTTTCTGAAACCCTGTGCAAGTCAGATGAACAACTCCAGAATCCAGCAGACAAGTAGCATCTATGGAACAGAATATTTCATTAAAATCTACTTTGTCAGAAACATGAAGATCCTAATAATTAACCAAAAGGATATGTGTTTTGTTTTCCTGAAAAGAAATTAAAACACTTTTCTAGAATAACAGTGGGGAAATGTATGGCGTTCAAATTTTCATGGACTCCATCCTAGATCTGCCCTCATCAATGCAACCAGTAATCAGAATTCAGCAACATCCGGAATGACATTGACTTACTACCCCCATCTGATGTATGTATAATAGCCCTAGAGATATACAGCCAGCTTTTTGGGAATCACATTGTTTGCTACATGTACCTACATGGGTGAAAAAACAGGGTTTCAACTGTGCAAGTATCTATCGCAAATTACTATATGCAGAATCAAGGCATCGATAGCAAGCAACCATCTTCAAATCTACATTCATTTTCCATGAGCTGTTCTCTCCCGCAAACAAAAATGCTCCCTATGGAGAAGGATAACAAAGTAGAAAGTAGAAGAGCGCTTTAGTGAAGACCGGATGACCTACAGGGATCTTACAATGTTTATGAAGCTTAGCTTCTGATGGTTTGGGTTTGGGGGGGGGGGGGGGGGGGGGGGGGGAGGAGCATGAAGACAGATTAATGGGGAAGAAGACGGAAAAAGGCTGCTATCTGCATCTTAACAAGTATTCAGCTGAATGTCATAACCACATGCTTAAGGCTTTTTAGTGATCCTCAGATGTCAATAAAATGTGTAAGACATCCTACCTTCATGAGAAAATACTGCTCCAAATGAACATACAGCCTTTCCTGCAAATTTCCCTAAGAACTCCAGTAGTGGATAGAGGAAGCACATTTTCCCTTCTGCAGCCTGAGACTATCATTGGCAACAGGGAACATACAAACACCAGGCAATGCAACGGACTAAAGCTTTGTGACTGCCAATGAAAGTTATGCTTACTTTTTTCAACTGACATAAAATGCAATAAATCATAATCCTTATGCTTGCTGTGAGTGTTAGGAATGCTAGGTTCTTTTATTAATGTTATTACTATCAGTAAAAGTAATAGTAATTATTATATCCTGCCTTCTCTGCCCAAACTGGGAAAACGTCTGAAATGACTCAAGAAAGAGGCCATATAGTTATAAATGAATCGAAGATCCACAGCAGTAGGAGAAATAGAAACTTCATCTTCACTCAATCAGTTCTTGTAGAAAAAAAGCATAGCAAACATACCAAAGTTGTAGGTGCTTGGGTTAAAAAACTGTTCAGGTGGAGGATATGAAGGTGGCACACCACGACTAAAGCTCCGTTCGTGTACTAAGACATCCAAGATCCGACGTGGAGAAGTCATGCTTACTATTGCATCCAGGGACCACAATGCAAAATAGGGGCAATTATGTAGAAATTCCCCTGGCCTTAAGAAAGCAGACAAAACACTTAAGATGACAACATACTACAAATTATTCTGAGAAATATATAAAGGAAAACTCATGCTTCTTACCTTAATGAATCTGGCATCTGTGCATGATACCAACGATTTATGTCAAATATACCTAAATAGGTATTTGGTTTGCCTTGACCATAAGTGTTCACTTGCCAGCTGAAGACAGACACGCTTGTGTCAGGTGATATGACTGAAGAGGTGGGCAGAAAAAAAAATGTAACTTCTGTAAATGTTTGCAGCTACCAATGATATAATTATAGTTCAATTTCATAGTGTATATATGCGAACAGCTTTTAAAGTTCAAATAGTATCAACAAGACAAAAAATGCTTAATTAGGCGCAACCTAAGTCTCTCATGGTCTTCCAGTTTACCCCATGAAATTGATCCTTAACTAATTTTTTAAAAAATCAATACAGATCAAAATTAGTCAGCTCTTTTAGCTCTTCTAGCAGGAGGTTCAAGCAACCAGTTAAGTTATACATACATGACTGCGAAGACTCAACCTGTTGTGAGACTATCATAATGGTGCAGGGAAAAAATATACACACTGTCCCAAGCTCTTTGGATGGAGGTCAGAATAAAAATATATTTATCTGGACAAGTCGGTGGAATAAATAAGTAAATAAATAAATACGTAAAATAAACATTTTTACAATGAAAACATACACTGATAATCCTCTAAAAAAATAACAGTGACAAAATGGTGGAAAAACCAGAGCTAACAATGTTAAATGCTACAAGATATTTTGCTGCATGAAAGAGAATAATCCCCCAACTACCCAGTCCTGACAGATAGAACTATAAGCTCACTGAAGAATTTCGATGCAGGAGGCAGAAAATCCAACATGCTCATGTTCCTCTCCATAGCAATAAAATACCAAATAAAATACCCTAAGAATAAATTAAATAATGAATCATTAGTTACATAGTTAATTCTTTCTGATTCATTTCCATATACATGTTTCTATTAGTTTATAATGTAAATGTGGGATTCTATATAATATTGTTGTGAAAACAAAACACTCCCAACATGTTTAGACTCAAGAGAATTATTTTCAGCTTACTATAGCTACTTTGTTTAAAAAATTTCCCCATTTAAGCAACCTGACTAGGAATGTTACTTCACTGAGTAAATTCACATTTCTTAGACCCAGTAAAGGAGAGAAGTAAATACCTCAACAAATGCCCTCCAATTACTTCTGGACACTGAACAATCCCTTAATAGGATTTCTTGTCAGTGTTTTCTAAACCACTAATGTTATTCCATTAAAACCACACTGATTTCAGTCAACTTTAGTGAGGACAAGGAGTGAAGGCTTCCATTTCAAATCAGGAGGATTTTATACGTAATAATCCCCTAAAGTCAAAGAATCAGGATAGGAAAAGACCACAAGGGTCACATATTATTTCAGGTGAGGTCTGACCAAAGGATTATATCCCTTGATCTAGACCAGTGTTTCTCAGCCTTCCTAGTGCCGTGACCCCTTAATACAGTTCCTCATGTCGTGGTGACTCCCAACTATAACATTATTTTCGTTGCTACTTCATAACTGTAATTTTGCTACTGTTATGAAGCATAATGTAAATATCTGATATGTAGGATGTATTTTTATTCACTGGATCAAATTTGGCACAAATACTCGATACGCCCAAATCTGACTACTGGTGGGGTTAGCGTGGGGATTTATTCTGTCATTTGGGAGTTGGAGTTGCTGGGATTTATAGTTCACCTACAATCAAAGAGCATCCTGAACTCCACCAACAATGGAATTGAACCAAACTTGGCACACAGAACTTCTACGACCAACAAAAAATATTGGAAGGGTTTGGTGGGCATTGACCTTGAGTTTTGGAGTTGTAGTTCACCTACATCCAGAGAGCACTGTGGACTCAAACAATGATGGATCTGAACCAAACTTGGAACGAATATTCAATATGCCCAAATATGAACACTGGTGGAGTTTGGGGAAAATACATCTTGATATTTGGGGGTTGTGGTTGCTAGGATTTATAGTTCACCTACAATCAAGAGCATTCTGAACTACAGCAACAACAGAATTGGCCTAAACTTCCCACACAAAACACCCATGCCTTGAAGGGACTCGCTAGAACGAGCCTCCCTCCAACCTCACATGTTCTCCCTCACCTGCCCTTGCGCACCACACTGCCATTTGCCAAGCACGCCTACTCTCCCCTCCCCCGCTTGGAGTCTCAGAAACAGCCCTCCACTTGGCTGAGAGGCCAGCAAATCAAAACGGGGGAGAGCTTTTGGAGAGAAGATTCGCTGTCTGTTTCCACAAAGGAAGAGAAGGACAGACAGAGAGATCTTCAGCCTTCTCTGCCAAAGGGATTCCTAAGACCATCAGAAATATATGTTTTTTGATGGTCTTTGGAGACCCTTCTGAAACCCCCTCATGAAACCCCCAGGGGTCCATACCCCCAGGCTGAGAAACACTGATCTAGACTATAATAGTACTGATGCAAGCTAGAATTGTACTGGCTTTTTATCTGTCACACTGCATTGTTGACTCCTGTTCACATTGTAGTTTAGTATGATTCTTAGAATCATTCTTAATTTGAATTCTGATCTTGTCCTCGAGGGTATTACTATCCTTCCTAATGTGATAAGCATACCCTCTATCATCCAAGTCACTTATAAAAATATTGAATAGCACTGAATCCAGGTCTGAACCCTGTGGCACTCTCTAGTCACCTATCTTCAGGACGAAGAGGAGCTATTGCTGAGCACCTTTGGGGTTGATTGGTCAAGGAATTTCAAATTCACCTAACAGAAGGAATTGTCTACCCCACATTTTAGCACCTTATTAGCAAGAGTATCATAGTTGGATTCAGTTTTGCTGCAGAATTTACAAAAGACTAGACTTATGTCAATGAAAGCAAACAATGGTTAGAATCCTGCTGATGGCATATGGTAGTGACATATGCAAAACATGTCCTTTATGAGTCACTGTGGAAGGAAGCTTCCAGGTGCCAACAAGCCCCCGCCACTGCCCCCACACAACCCAGTCTTAAACTCACTATTTTGTACCTTCACAACAAATTCAATGACTGGCAAGAAGCTCTCAAAACACCACCCAGCCATTATACACTTGGGCCAAAAGTGCCCAGAAGCTCTTGGATCCCCAAATAACTGATAGAGTGAAAGAGTGTGCCTCAGTTGGAGTATACAGTTGCTTCACATGTGTGTCCTAACAAAAAACAGACATTAAAAGAACTCTTTAAATTTCTATCTTCTATATTGGCTCAAGGCAACTGTTAAAAGAAGTTCAGGATATCAGTATCAATTTCTGGCCAACCTCCAAGATACTACACTCAGACCTCTGCTTCCCCACGCATGATACAAAAGGACTCTATCATAAGCTTGCTGTTTCCTTTACAGACCTCACTTCTGAGGTTAATTTATGTTCTGTGGAAGAAGGCCAGCTAAAGACTAAACAAGTGATGCACTGGGAACTGCTTCGCATTTTAAATATTCATATGGTAAAAACATGAAAAGCTGAGAATGTTTGTGTGTTTTATGACAAACAACCTTGCACCAGACAGCTCTGATAATACGTACTTACATTGAAGTATTGTGCCGTTTCTGGGATGTATGGCTGTGTTCTGGCAGCATTTTCTCCTGACTTCTCATCCACACCTGTGGCTGGCATCAGAAGATGTCAGCTACAGATGCAGGCGAAATGTCAGGAAAAAATGTTGCTAGAACACATCCATACAGCCCAGAAACCACACAACACTTCAATGATTCCAGCCATTTGACAAAATAATACCTACATTGCCTACACAACATCTCCATGAGCATTAAGCTTTAATACTAATTATTATAAAGAAATATACCAATTTCAAGACTTAAATAACCCAACTATTTTAGCCTCGGTAAAGTCTAGAACATTACCATTCTAGACATTTTCATACATTCTACTCAGCTTGACAGCACGAGACTGGCACATCTTTCTCTTAGAATGCTCTAATACAATGGTTCTCAACCTGTGGGTCCCCAAATGTTTTGGACTTCAACTCCCAGAAATCCTAACAGCTGATAACTGGCTGGTATTTCTGAGAGTTGTAGGCCAACACACCTGGGGGACACACAGGTTGAGAACCACTGCTCTAATACTTTCACAAAATATGACATAGAACGTTACCAGCCAGCTAGCCTTATGAGTTTCACTATTACACTAGAAGCTTAGTTCTCTAATATAAGCTAGATATATATTTCTACTCAGATAAAGTAAAGGTTTTCCCCTGACATTAAATCTAGTTGTGTCTGACTCTGGGGGGTGGTGCTCATCTCCATTTCTAAGCTGAAGAACCAGCGTTTGTCTATAGACACCTCCTAGGTCATGTGGCTGGCATGACTGCATGGAGGGCCATTACCTTCCTGCCAGAGCGGTATCTATTGATCTACTCACATTTGCATGTTTTCGAACTGCTAGGTTGGCAGAAGTTGGGGCTAACAACTGGAGCCGGATTCGAACCTACGACCTTTTGGCTAGCAAGTTCAGCAGCTCAACAGTTTAACCACTGCACCGCTACTCAGTGATACTGTTAACAGTGTAGTTTCTATCCCAATTAAAATTCTAGAGCTTACAAGCATTTGTGCATAGCGTAAATGTAAATTAGTCACTATTCTACATAATTGGATAATCAAATCAAATAAAAATTATGGAGAAACATATTTAAACAATCTTTACTAGAGAATGTGGTCTTACACAATTAGTTTTCATTCTTAGTTACAACAAGCTTTTAAAATGTATTCTATACTCACCTTCATTAATGCCATCTTCTCTATCGACATGGCTTCGAAACTTCTCTACAGTTTGGCAACCAATTAATTTGGTGTTGCTACTCTGTCCCCTCAAAGAGAAAATTCCACATGTGAGGTCCAACGTGTACCTTTCTTCACAGTATTCCAAACCCTTGGGTGCGGGAGAAAGAACCAAAGTAACTACCATGAAGAGATTATTAATCCACACTGAAATCAGTAACTTAGTTAAAAAAAATTGCTCAGAGAGAGTTCGCTTTTTTAAAACCTTAAGCACACCACATGCTACCACCTCCTACTAAATCAATAAGCAATAGAAAGATTTGTAAGATTTTAGGAAATACCATGTTTTAACAAAACAGCAATAGTTAAATTTAATACCCAAAATACATACTTGAAAAAACATTTTCCAATTATGATATGATACATCAAAGTTTGATATTGACTTAAAGAAGGGTAAGGAAACTGGAATGGGAAAAAGGACTCACTCTTCACAGGAAAGGCTGGATGGCATTTGAGTGTGTGGCCCAGCTTATCTGAAGCCCACCAAAAGCTGGACAAGAGTGGTCACGTTAGCCATGAAAGTCAATGGTCTCCCTGCCTTACTTTAAGCCCTTATTAAGGACTTGAAATGCTACCCTCCTTCACTCAATTGGAGTCCCATGCCAGGTAGAAAACAGGACATAAAATCAATACATGAAATCTGATATACATTTCCTTCTTGCTAAGATACCAAAAGATATCTGTACATCACTTCTACTGGCATTCATTGTTGAACTGAAGAAATATTGCTAAATATTGTCATAGTTTGAAGCCATTTCATTTTTAGCCATCAAGAAATAGCACTTTAAATTATACCTATCAACTTATGAGTGTTCTCCAGTAATTTGAGGTATTTTGCAAGCATACATTTAATCATTCCAATGGATTTAAAAAAAAAATGGAGGTATTCAGTCAAATGCAATAAATAAATATGTCCTACTGCAAGTTTTCAACACTCACGAAGTCCCCAGTTTTATTTATCAGACAAATTATTCTTAAGATATTTGAAGACAACAAAGTTGCTTTTAAAAAACAAAAGTGACACTTAAACAGAAAAATACAGGGCAGGAAATCACTTTATAAAAAGACATGTTGTTGAAACAAGCAACAAGCTAGAATATATTTAAAGAATTGAGCCTGCTGAAGACATAAGTCCAGGGATGAGGGTTCTGTTCAAGCTAGCCAGAATGCTTGGGGCATTCTAAAACACAATCAGGAGTCACTGGAATCTCTCCATGACAGGCAATAAAAATACCTGCTTACAAATGTATGTGGGTAAATCCAAGATTTCCTTTTGGGCTTTCACAATACTACCTAAGCCTCAGATAAAATAAAAGCAATGGCTACAATTTATACTACAGAATGAAGATAAATCGTCTACTGAATTCAGACCATTACTGAATGTGATTCTGCATGTTTCCTTCTCATAAGAGCATCCAGTTTGAAAGCTGGATTACATCAAAAGTCTCATTCATTTGTGCTGGTCTACAACACTAAGGGGCTGCTGTATCTAACTGTTTATGTCTACTCGAGAAATATCTATGCTGAACTGGTTCCCTTCTCCAGGTGCTTCACAATTAGCCCAGAGGCTTTGGGGACCACCACCACCCAAAAGTAGATTGGGAAGTGATATGTGGCAAACTATCAGCAAGGGAATGAGTCCACAATGTGGATTTAACAAATTCAAAACAAAAAGTCAGAGCTGCTGCTTCTAAAATATATGTACACTCATATATGCACATTAGTTTAATACACTATATAGATGTATATAGATACAAAACAGTATAACCATGTCTTCCCGGCTTGTTTGGCAAAACCCATATGCTCAATTTTAATTTATTCTCTAAAACCAAAGGAGCTTTTAGATCAACGCTGGAAATTTCAGAGACCACGTGAGCTAATTTTCATCCCTATAGCAGCCTGCAGCATCCAGAAAAAAACAGCTGAAAATGAAAGCAAGTGTAAATTCCGGTTTTCATCTCCAAAACATTTTCCAAAACATTGGGAATTTAGGACCTATATTTAAGGTATCTTCCACTCCCGGAGGCCTCCAAAAGTAGCAAATTAACCATCTGGGGGTAATTACCTAATTTTGGAGTGTGGGGCTTTAGAACTTTGGGAAATCTTTGGAACCCTATGGAACAATATTGAGCTTCGATATATGAATACTTTACCTCATACATAATTTGCCCTGATGCCAAACGCCTTCTGTCACTGAAGGCCAACTGCAGTAGATGTAAGCTAAGAATATCTCCTTCACTAGAATGTAAAAAAGTTAAGATTTTAGTGCAGAATCTAGAAAACATTATTATATTTACTAACTTCTGGATAAAGTAGATCACTGAAATCCCACCTTATTCCAGTAGGCCTTATTCTAGTAGCAAGTGCACCAACACATATACAGAAGTTTAACTGAAAACATATTTCTCATCGTTTCAACAGCAGATCAGATTAACTGTATGGAAACAATTGCCTTCATATGACCTGAGACCCTTGTGTATGTAAGGTTTATAAACACATTTAAGCGACAAAATTCAAGACCATCTTCTATTGCAAATGAAACATTCAAGCCAAAAAATGTTCCTAATTATGCTCTAAAATTCAACCCTCTACACCAATGGTAGTATTCTTGAGTAGCTGAATATGCTATGGACCAGATTTGCCATTAATAGGCAAAAGTCAAACAAAACCTAATCACAGAACTCCACATGCATGGATTCTTTATCTGGAATTCTAGTTCAGACTATTTAACAGTTCTGCAATATATATGACTACACAAGCAAAGTGTCTGTTGTGGTTCAGCAACAGCATGATGGGCATGATGGGACTGAGAGTGCAAGTGGGCATGATGAGAATGGG